TAACTTTATTAAAATCACAAAATAATAATTTAGGTTGCAATGAGGCAGCCGGTTTCCCTGCGCAGCCCACCCGAGCCAAAAAAAGTTCTTATGTCAATATAATGTCTTATCTTACACCAATATCCCTCTTGCAGCCCGACCCTGGGCGCGCTACGCCAGGCGCCATCTCGGAAGCGCCAAGCGGAAAGGACGGATCGCGTCCCTCGACCTGCTCTTGCTAACGCAGCCCGGGATGCCGTGGGGCTTCTTTGCCGAGTCGCGATCCATTCTCTTGGCCCCCAGATCCTCTCCTGAGGAGCGTTTAAATTATTCAGCTCTCTGCCCGCGCTCCCAAGACTCGCCACGATCTTTACGGAGAGCACGAGCTGCCTTTCCCGCCTGGGTGTCCCTCTCTGAGGAGATTCCCAGGCGCGATCCCCAAACGACAAAGGGAATATAGAAATCTAATGTCAAAAACCGGCATCTTTTCAGTACGCTATCAACTTCAGATCGAGGGAATCCGAAGGACTCTCGTGTCTTTGACCCTTGAGGAACCCTGACCCAGCCGCGCGTGCTGGAATTCAGCGCGCTCCGTGGCGCGACTCCCTCTTCTGACTGGTTTTATGTTGATCTTTCCTGAGGAACCAGGCCAACAAAAGACCGGTTGGGAAGTATAGATTAGCCAATGTTACCAGCCTCTTCGGGGTCGGGAAACCCAGCCGGGATGTTGGCAGAGCGCGGTAAGAATCCCCAGGAGATCGGAAAGCGCTTTATTGCCTTCAGAGCACGTTCGGATTCATCGTTAATAGACGAGACAGGAGCACAACGATGGCAACAGAAAAACCGATCCATACATTCCCACATCTGCCCACAGTTTGGGATCTCCGGGCTGAAAATTACAGGGCAGAGCTCTGCTTTTCCTGCCCCTTCCTGGGGAGCTCCCGCAGAGTCGGGGCGCCGCCGGTAGCTCTTCCAGCCACTGGAATAACTTGTAGGATCTCTTTCCGATGATGTGCCCTGTGTCCTTGGTGTTTAAACCTCCTGCCTGGGCCTAAGCCTGGTTGCTGAGTAGTCGAGTAGACATCCAGAATATAGACATCCTTGCTACGGCCTTTTTCACGGTTTTAGCCTGCCCAAACCACTTATTTTCACATTTAGCAGACCGGCCTAGACCTTTTAGCATTTATTTATGTTTGGCCCTGAGAGGGCTGGGCCCAGATCCAGGAAGGTACTTAGCATCTTACTCGATTTCAGTAGGATATAGCTTCTTTATAGATTTATAAATGGTGCTTTCGTTCTCTTTTAAGGCGGCCCCGAAACTGCTGCTATGTTAGTACCCGTGCCCATTCTGAAGCCTCTCGTACTCTTCCAGAACAGTTGGTAACTGAGGACGGGTATTTCTGAGGTTGCCTGCCCCACCGTCATGCCGTGCCCAGGCTCCCAGCACACGGCAAAGTGGCCGCTCCTGGGGCATTTCTTGCACGTAAAGAACCTCGCGGTACAAACCCACGACTGTCATGTAATTAACTGTCACGAGCGTTGTTTCCTGTGCCAGTTACGGTTCTTCGATGTGCTTCCAGTTGGCGTGGCCTTCTCTGGGTCCCCTTGTGCTGCTCCTGGTCCGATGGGTCTTGTTCGTGCGCGTTTGGGGACGTTCCTGGTTCCCTACGTGAGATTCCATCGTGGCATCGCCCTCAAAATCACTTCTGCAAAGTGCTTGTTGTTTCTTTCCATCCGTTCTTTACGGAGGCTGAGAGGCCTGTTTCGGTGGCTGCCTTTGGAAGCCTGCGCTCAGGGTTGTCCTTCACCTGAGGTCAGGATAATCTGGGAATCTTCCCTGGAATTTAATTGATTTCCTGACCTGTCTCAGTGAGCCTATTTCAGGTACACTCATCTCTCCAAATCCACAGGTCTTACGAAATTACACGGCATTTCACCCCTCTCATTTAAATAAATGAAATCGCAACTGCTCAAAGAATACATTGCATCATGGCATGAAATATTGATCTCAACCACACTGAACTTTTTAATTAGGATAACTGTGAGGTTTCCAGAAAGATCCTCTGATGAAGGTCTTACTGTAAGGAAGCAGCATGAGTGTACTTCTTTGTTTCCTAATCTGAACTAGAAACTGCGTAAGATGTCTTATTCGGCTATAGGGGTTTAACAACAATCTGAATTTAGAATAAACTGGGGTCTTCTAGATGTCAAAGTTTTAGCAGGTCATAGGGTTCTCTCTTTTAAAATCATCTTTATGCTGAAAAAAATGGCATAGCCTTAAAGAAAGCCAACTGGTATTACTGTGGACCAGTCCTTAACCTCACTGACCCTTCTTTTTCTGTCTTTACTTCATCTCACAGCCTCAACTTGTCGTAGCTGATCGCTTTATGACCTCTGTCATTTTAGACCTTTTCTCTTCATGTTCTGCTGCTAGCTCTGTGAGGCTTGTCTTGCAATGTGTCACTGCTGCTTTTCTTCTTCTTTTTCCCTTTCCCTTTCCTTTCCCCTTTCCCTTTCCCTTTCTCTTTTCTCTCTTCTTCCCTTTCTGCAAATGCTTTTGATTTTGATTCTGGTTACTTGTACCCCTGACGCCATGTCGAGGTTGCAGAGATCATGGATGTCAAATGAGCCAGAAGTTTCTTATTCTTATACAGACGCATTAACCAGCTGGTGGTCACTCTGAACACAGGATTTTTTTAAAACTTTCCAAAATCTTTAGATTTCCTAATCCAGGTGTTGGATCAATGGATCATGGTCAGGCCTCAGCATACTGCACGGATTGCCATGAGGTGTTATTACGAAACTTTTCTCTCCCAGGTACGTGATTTCATCACTCGTTTTAATTTCACAGACCGACGGCAGATGAGTTACCTCATAGACCACAAACGAGGTACTGCCGTCATCATCATTGTTACTGTTAAATCGGTTCTGAAGCATCTTTCGAAGGGCCCCTAATCTAATCTAAAGCAGAAAACATGACTTAATTTTTACCCTATTATTACTATTAGTAGGTATAAAGCAAGGCTGAAAAAGATTTTAAAATAGCCAATTCCAGTTGATCTTATTCAGGCTATTTTCCTCCAGCTATCCTAATCTAGTCTCCAAACTATTTTTAGTAGTCACTGCAGTCCTCTGAATGCCTGTTCCCTCGTTAAAGGCTTGCTTCATTTTCCTTCTTTTTCTTCCCATTTTTCCAAAGTCACTTTTGGAAGAAGGAAAAAACGGTTTGCATAAGGAAAACTTGAAATGAGAGCGAGGAACATGGAGGCATGACCGATTCTAAATAAGGATGCAATCGTAAAACTGCTGTTAATAAATGAGCAGGGCTGTCAGGCTTTCCTAAAAGCCCAGCTTTTATCACCAAATTCCCAGTATGCCCCTTCCTCCCTGAACAGTAAATGGGTCAGTCCATTTTAAACTACGCCTTTTTCAGCTCAGTGAGGGGATTTTTGGGTCCCGTCTCAGGTGATTTGCCCGCGCATTTTCTTTTTAGATGCACAGGTTGCTTTGGGTGGAGGAAAGCTGCTGGTTTGCTGCTGATTTTTCACCTTAAAAAGCGCAATATCGACGCTACCGAGGTGCCACGCTGGGCTCGCCTCAACGCTGAGGGGAATCACGGAGGGACCCCACCCCCTCCGGCCGAGCCGGATGAGAGCTCCCCCCTGATTGGGCACACCTCCTCCTGATCCGGCCGCTCATTGGTCAACAGAGAAGAGGGCTTGAGAAACCTCTGGTCCAATTGGTTCTTCCTGATGTCAGCTCTTCCCCCGTCAGCCCAGCCATGAGGAGAGCGGGCTCTGGGCTGATGTGGGGCCAGGCGCCCGGCAG